ACTACTGCCTATCAACCCACAGGTCTAATAAACTAGTTTAATAAATCAGTTTAATAAACTGACTTAAAAAACTAGCTTAGTAAACTAGTTTAATAAACTGGCTTAATAAACTAGTTTAATAAACAGATTTAATAAACTAGTAAACTAATTTAATAAACTAGTTTAATAAACTAGCCTAATAATCTAGTTCCATAAACTAGTTTTTTTATAAACTAGTTATAAAACTAGTTCATTAAACTAGTTTAATAAACTAGGTTAATAAACCAGCCTACTAATCTAGTTCTATAAACTAGTTTTATAAACTAGTTATAAAACTAGTTCATTAAACTAGTTTAATATTTCAGTACAACATTCTGGTTTATTGTTTTGGTGGCTCCAGCTTATTAAATTTTAATTACTCCAAGGCGGGCTGACGTCACTCCAGTGTAGTATACACTATTTATCAACCATATTTGTAAGCATAGTTTCACAACTTCATTCATGATTTATCACCATTATTATATCGCTGTCATAGTACAATAGTACGATGCACATCATTTCAGAGTTTTAAGTTCCGTTTATAAAACAACAGGATAAGAAAACATATTAAACTATGAATAAAATAATTTTAATTAAACCATTTTCAACTAGAGGTGCTCAAAATCTATTAGATAACATTGGATAAGTACATACTAATTTATAAATTGCGTAGTACTTGTGAAAGCTGTTCTAAAGTGACGTTCTATCTGAGTTGTTACTTTAGATATATAAAGCTGCAACTCCAGATGAAACAATTACTTATATTTTGAGTCTAAAAATACAATATACTCTACATTTGTTACTTTTTTTTAATGCAAATTCCATATGGTCTAACATCCTCACCTTTTTCAGAAACCCAATACTCGCCATTTTTAACCTTAATTATTTTTAAACTAGCAGGATTTACTCTATTCTGAAATATCATCACATATTTATTTCCTTTAAATTCAAAATCCTTCGCGAATTTTTCAGCTACATGAACGTCAGGTGTTGAATAAATACCATGTCCATAAGCAAATCTAACACCTTTGCTTAAATCATAACCTTCTTCAGCAATTGATTTTGCATTATGTTTAGCAGTACCATGATACGATACTGGCCAGGAACTTTTACCGGTACCAAGCCATTTGTCATCACCGTTATCATACTTTCCAGTAACCTTTAAGGCGATACGTTTCCATCCACATGGTCTTTTATATTGTATTTCACCCCGCATAAATGTAAGTCCTAGATCATTAACCTTCCTAAAATCATAATCATATTGCGGGTCCAAAGCACTCACACTTAAGCAGCTAATTATACGTTCACGTCCACGTAGACGTAAAACCATGTGCAATGTACTTTCGGTTCCTTTTTCTGTTTTAATATTGTAGTCGAAAAGCGTTCGGTCATCCAACAATTGCTTCCCATCAAAAATTAATTTCTGTCGATCCGATGGAATACTTTCTTTATCTTGAAGTTTCAGCTTAATAGCATCAATAGTGTCATTTTCTGTACATTCAAGTGTTATTGTTTTACCAGTGAGAGTCTTAACAAAAATTTGTCCTTTTTGAGAATTATATTGATCAAATGTGCACAGACTGGTAAAATTAGTGCTCAGATTATTTACAGTATTCAGATTACAGCTGACAAGGTTAATCTGATGTAGCGAGTTTAAATCAACTTGATTATACGTTGCATCATAAGTTTCTCCACAGGATTGTCCAGCTTGAAATTCTTTCTCAGATATAAACATGTAAGTTCCCATCACAGCTGTAAAAGCCGAGTTTATAAGGTCAATATTACGTGAGCTTACCATAACTAACGAATTTTCTGATAAATTTCCTTGAATAGTCGAACTCAGTGTCAGTGGAGATTGTCCATACTCATTATTTGACGGTTTACAATATGTGTTTTGTGAATAATTTACTGATTGAAGTGTACTATATTGCGGCTGAGAATATTGTAATTCAAATGTTCCAGAAGGTGGCCCAGAAAATGGTGGTTCAGCAGGTAATAGTCCAACTGGCCCCAGATGATCCCATTGTGAATTCATTTCAATTTGTGGCTGAGAATATTGAAATGCCTGTAGTTCAACTGGCCCCAGTTGATTACATTGCGAGATACCAGTAACTTGATTGACGTAAAAATATTCCTGAGTTTTTGTATCATATTGAATTATCCACTCTGGTGGCAACGCCAAATCCATTTCATATTGTAGCTGAGAATATTGAGATCCCGGTGACCCAACTAGCCCAAGGTGATTACATTGCGAGATGCCAGTAGCTTGATTGACGTAAGAATATTTCTGAGTATTTGGATCATATTGAGATATGCATCCCGGTGGCAGCTCCAAATGCGGCTGAGAATATTGAGGTGACGATGGTCTAACTGGCTCCGAATAATTCAATTGTGAGATATCACTATCTTGATTGACATAAAAATATTTTTGAATATTTGGATCATATTGAGATATACATTCTGATAACAGCTCTGAATCCATTTTTAATACTGATTAGTGTTTTTTTTCTTTAACCATTCGATAGCGTCTAGATCCTATAAGAAAAGATAGAGTCTTTTTTTTTTGGTTTAATGAGCCTGCATAAATATTGTTAGAAATATGTTCATTTTATATCACTTTCCCGCATTTCCGAAATGTTTGTTTAATGATATCAGGAATAGAAATCACAATGGCATCAATGCATATGGGCGGATTAAATAATATTCACGTGACTATACATATTAAAACAAAGGTTTTTATTGGATGTTTGCTCTGATTTTTTCCTTTTTGGGGGATCGTCCAAAACAATATCCAATTAAATATTGATCTACTACATATTTTTACATAAATCGTATTTTTGTAAACCGCTAACCTTAAATGCACCAAAAAAAAGCAAAAAAACCCGGACACTGCTTTAGCCATTTACTTTTTAGTAGAACAAATACTCCGAATCTAGAAATTTCCAATTTGGGATTGTTTAAAGCAGAAATGGTTTTTGTGTGTGTGATATAAATTCAAATCAGAGAACTACTGTAAAAGTAAATTCGTAAAATTAAAATTTTAATGTTAGGATGTTATAAAGGCAATAAAAATAGAATGTTGCTATTTCCATCCTACACTTTTGCTAATGCCACCCCTCAAGAGTTTTCGCCCCTCTCCGACCCTCTTCTAATCCTAATCAGACGACTGCGTTACACAAATAAAGGTCACGTGACCAAAATTTATAGCCGAAACTTCAAAAAGGGAAAGTCTTTGGACGTTTACAATACATGTGTTTTGTACTCACCAAAGCTCACCCTAGGGTGTCCAGGATTATGCGATGTGATGGAGTAAATTATGCGGGCGATCTGAGGTCAATTATGTGATGAGTGCGAAATAATTTTAAATTATACGATCGATTATACGATTTTTAAACCTTCTATAAAATATTTATTTACTTATTAAAATTCAAAAAATTTAGCATTCTAAGTGAATTTTCTAACAATGCATGTCTATTATCTGTTAAAATTCATTTATATGCTGAAAAGCTATGTTTTACATCTACTCCTGAAACCATTGGAGATAAGAATTTGGTGGTCACTTTGAGTACTAGTATCAGGATCTTCAACATTAAAGGAGTTAGCCCAAATATAATTAATGTTATTACTATATCTGCTGCTTTGCATATAGGTATGCTGAATTATGTATGGTTAACTAAGTTATATAAGTTATTATATTAAGGAAAATAGAGTAGTTTATATTTGATTAAAGAAGATTAAATAAGATAATCAGATGTATTAAAATTATTCAAAATAATAGGTTGTATGTTCAGGATGATGACATGTGTAATCTATTGTAAAATAATATTTTATACTGATAGTCTAAGTTTGAGATTGTTATATAGTAAGTAGATAGAAATAATTCTAAACTTAAAATTATGTCTAATAAAAGATCTACTGCAATAACATATTTTATAAAGAGTAAAATTTTAGGTTTATCTATAGAATAAGGTGTACTAATATACTTGATAGTTATATCAATTATCATATTACACAAAATATAACCATTAATTGTCAATGTATTTTATTTACATTAATATTATATAATGGATTCATGTATTGAATTAAAAAATTTAATTATAAAGAAATAATAAATGTTTGTTGGTTTTTTGTAGTTATAAGAATTATCAAAAAGAGGATAAATAAAATTTTAGATAAAGATTGTATAATAAGACAATCTTTATTATCTATACAATATTACTAATTTATCTATATTTAAAAAATTGTGAACCTAATTCTTATATTCAATTTAGAAAATAAATACTCAAAATTCATTTCTGTAATAAACATGTTGATTAGAAAAAGTTATTAAAATAAGGATTGAATTTCTGAATAAGTTCAATAACTTTTACTTGAAGAAAATGAAGAAAAAATGTATTTTAAAACAGATGAAAATGATTATTGTTTTACTAAATTTAATGAATCAAATATATTAAATAATTATGAATATATTAATCTTAATAATAAAATTATTTATTATTTTTTATGTTCTTTTATCAAATAATCTATATTTTTTACAAATAATAAAACTTCTGTAAATGATGTTTCAATTTTTGATACTTTTATTAATAATAATTGTCTATTGAAGAACAGATTACTAAAAATATAACTGTTAATGAAATAATTTCCAATAAAGAAAAAGTAAAATATTTTAATGAAAATAATATTAAAAAGAAAGTAATGATGAATTATTTAATAAAAATATAAATACATACTTTAAAGCATTAAAGAATAAAAATATAAATACTGAAAAAAAGTTAAAAAATTTAAAAAAAACTTAATAAATATTATAAAATAATTGATACAAAGAATAATTATATAAAAGACCTTAAAGATGAACTTATTCGAAAAAATAATAAAATTTGAAAATAGAAGAATGAAATATATCAGATGAATAATGAATTATATAAAAGGGCTAAACTATAGTTTAGTGTATACTAATATATTCAATAATCACAATATGATATCATTAGATTAGTAATATATTGTAAAACATAGTGCTTTGATAAATGCTTCTCAGAGTTTGTTTTTGTTTACTTAACACTAAATAAATTCAAATAAATGTGGTTTAATCAAGTTTTTATTTTAATTTTATGAAGCAATCTGTAACTTGATGCCATTCTATAATCCTTCTATAGTATTTATATATGCATCTGTTTTGTAATCCACAAAATTTTTTGAATAATTAACTGTTTTATGTTTAAATCCTAGTTCATCGATATTCAGATAATCTTTCCAACAATCTGTATGAACAATAGATCCTTTTTCAGCATATTTATCTAAGATATTTTTGATTATTTCTTTATTACATTTCTACATCTTTATTAGAAAACATTATTTTTGTTCTGTTTTTTCAATACTACCAATAATCTATAAACCATCAATAACTTTGTCATGATGATATTTTTCCTTTCAAATTTAGATTTATTGATCTCAATAACAATTCCTTCACTACCTATTTTGTTTTTATAATCTTTTAAAGTATTAATAACTAATTCACAATAAAATTTCATATACTCAGTTATTATATTTGGTGAATGGTTTGTTATTTTTTTAATTGAATAATAATTGCATTTAGATAGTCAAAAATAGCCAAATATTATTGTAAGATTACATTTCATATATTCTTTTGAAAAGAAAGAATTTTTGAATATCAAAACTAATTTTTACATCTTTTATTTACACAAATAAATTTTTATTATTTTAAGACAAGTTTGCTTTACATATCTTACATTTTATAAGTTTATACAAAATATTATTATTAAATAAAAATTTAATACATTCATTTTTATTTGTAAAAATCTTTATTATTGAAATAAAAGTTGAATATGACATTGTTACTAAACATAAAAGTGAATTATATCTTTTATATGAATACTAATTGTATAACTAAATAAACAAGAATTTGTAATTCATTTTTTTTTCTTATTATTATTTTTCTTTGTTTCTTTAACTTTGTAATGAACAAAGAAAATATTTATTGATAATAGATAACTTTTAATCAATCTTTATATCAGTTTCATCAACCCAACTGTTGAATCCTGATATACTTTTTCTTGTTGTCTTTAGTTTTTTGATGGTTTTTATAAATGAAATATATTTGAACATTATTGTATAAAGGTAGAGTTTACATTAAATAAATATTGATTTAGTTTTTTATACTATATAATCTTTCAATGCTTCTCTTTATATTTTATTTTTTGATTGAAATTTAGTTACAAAATATTTTTTTTTCTTGATAATAATGATATAAAGATAAGTATTTTTTTAGTTTAATTAATAAAATATAATTATCTAAATTTTATATTAATCATATTATAGATTTGAACTCTTTACTTTCAGTTCAGTTTGGAACTTGATACATAATTTAAGAAATTTTTTTTTTTTAAAAAATATCTGTCTATTTTAGTATAGGTTTCAGATTTCTTTTTATATTTCAATAAGATCAAAATTAAAATTTAGTTGGTAATAAAAAATCTGAATCATATGTCTGCATAAACAGATTAGCATGTAGATAGAAAAATTCATAGTAAAAAAAATTCTAAGCAAATTATTAGCAGATAATGAATAAAAGAGAGGAAAATCATATAAAATCTGTAGGTTTCATATCTGTAAAGTTGTACAGTATAATAATATGAAATTTTATGTACTTTTTACATCTGCAAAAATATTTCCTTTTATAGAATTTTTGCTAAATGCTATTGGATAAAAGGCAGTTTAAATCTGAAATACCCATTAGATCACATGATTGTAGTTTTATATACTTTTTAAAATTGAAAAATATACAATAAATTATTTGCTCTGCTATTTTATCTAATTATTAAAAATTTATATCTCTTATTTTTTTCATTCAATTAGTCATGAATTTTCATGTATTTTCTGATTTAGCTACATGTATTTTTCTGAAATTTCATGTACTTGATAAACATGATTATTATTCTTTTTTGTCTAAGTCACATTATTTACAGATGATGTATGGTCAGGTTTGTTTGCAGAACTGATTTGTGTCAATCTTGGTTGCCCATTTCTTAGTCCAACAATCACTAAAAGTATAATAAGATATAGTAATTTTATATATATAATCTACTACTTATTACTATATATTTGTTTTATAGATATATAATATTTATATATAACAGTATATTTGGTGTAGTATTTTACTACACCATATATGGACTGCTAGTGCAAGGTCTAGAGTTAAAGAATGAGCTTTACTTACTCAATAGTCATCTGATACTCTAGTTTTATTTTTATTGGTTTTCTTTACTAAAAGTAAGCTTTGTTCACTCAACAGTTATTTGATACTTCTGTTTTATTTTTATTGGTTTTTATTTAAGGATTACAAATTTGTAATACATTATTTCTTTATTTAAAAAGTGTTTAATTATTAAAAAATATTTTTTTTTTAAACAAATATACATGAGTACTAAAAAACTAATCCTTCTAATTATAATATCAATAAAC